GGGGGGTTGTCCATTTGAAATTACATGTACTCTCAGTGCAAGTTCAGTTGTAGGTTTCGCACTTGCTGCATACCTCGACGTGTTTAGATAAATTATACAATTACAAATGATGTTTTACGCCAACTTCCTTGTACTTTCCTTTCTCCGTCCCCTTGTACCTCTAGGGCGTCGAGGGGAGAAAGAGCTTCCTGTCTCTAGCAAGTTTGATGGCCTGGCTGAGTGGGATTTTGTATGTTCTCAGGGTATCCTTCACACCCTGGATCCAGGTCTTTCTTAGTCTTCCTCTTACCTTGTTCCCTGATACTTTCCTGTAGTAGGTCTTACTGGCAAGCTGGTGAGGTGCTATACGTGTGGGATGTCCAAACCACCTGACTGTTTGCCTACGAATGTGATCTAGCAGTTCTGGTCGTTTTATACGGGTGATCCTCGTTAACAGTGTTTTTTTAAAATATGAAAACAAACAAAGCAACAGCAACAACAACAACCACAACAACAACAACAACAACAACAGGAACAACAGAAAACAAAATGGGGGTAGAAGGAAGTGGTCATTCGTGCAGGTGATTATTCTGGACAGGTGGTCATTTATTTAAGCAAGTTCCACTCTATTCGCATTATACATCGCTGTCACATCTACCCACGTTGTTTTTTTCGACCTCATACCGTTCGCTATCTTATTTTCTAAAAATTCAATAAATACAATCCAGCTTCCCTTCTCCACTCTCCAGACCAAGCCTTGCCCTTGACTTTCTCCTGGGTTGAATAATGACGTCTGTTGTTAATTAATTAGCCAGCTCTTTCTCTTGAATAAGAAATGTTTCTAGTCAGCAGAAGGGCTAGATCACGTTGCCTGTTGTAATTTGTCCTGGTCTATGTTTGTGATGAATGCTTTAATTTGTCAGCTGCCTTCCAACCTGAAACAACACAGAAGTTGTGCCACAACCACCACAGAATTGCAAACTGTTGAATTTGACACACTGTTGGCCGTTTGGAGTTACTAAGTCCATGAGCTGAGAAATCAAATCCTCTATCAGCTTGATCAAAATCGTAAGATTATTCGGAGTCTTTATCAAGATATTCAAAGAATTGCATTTGAAAAAAACCTTGATATGTTGTGACCCAGAAATACGCCAGACAGCACGTCTGAGATTTTATAACATAAATCTGGATCTATGGTTCAACGAACTACAAATTACAAATTAACTATGAGTAACTTCCTGTTCAAAATTCACCGACATAGGATGTCTAAACAT